TATCCATTTACTTAATTGTTGAATTCCTGTATCCATGTAAAGTGGTTTTAGAATTGTTAACCCAGACTTTGTGGGAACAACTTTATCAGCTGGAGTAAATGTACAGTCCTTTTGCCTTGAGATTTATAGACTCCACTGATTTCTAAAGTTATTTAGGTTAGTACTCGAGTCTTCCACCCCAATCAGTGAGGTTGTCCATACATTCATAATATATTTTGATTCCTTTATCGCATTCTGTTTTCAATACTAGGATCCCCTGACTTCCAAAATGATTTTTAAACATTTGCATACATTAAGGTAGCACTTTGTGTTGTAATATTCTGTATGCTTTGACAAAGGGATACTGTCATGTATCCACCATTACAGTGTCATACAGAAAAGTTTCACCACCATAAAAAGCAACTGCAGTTCACCTGTTCAAACCTGTACTACCCACCCTACCCCCTACCTGAACATCTGGCAACCACTGATCTGTTTACCATTTCCATTGTTTTGTATTCTCCAGAATGTTATATAATTAGAATCATGTGGTAGTAGCTTTTTCAGACTAGCGGTTTTCACTTAGCAATTTGCATTTAAGATTCATTCATGTCCTGAAGCAACAGAAAGAGAAATCAAGGAATCGATCCCATTTACAATTGCACCGAAAACCATAAAACACCTAGGAATAAACCTAACCAAAAATGTGAAAAATCTATACACTGAAAACTACAGAAAGCTTCTGAACCAAACTGAAGAAGACACAAAGAAATGGAAAAATATTCCATGCTCATGGACTGGAAGAACAAATACTGTTAAAATGTAAGTACTACAAAAAGCGACCTACATATTCCTTGCAATCCCTATCAAAATAATACCAGCAATCTTCACAGAGCTAGAACATATAATCCTAAAATTTGTATGGAACCACAAAAGACCCCGAATAGCCAAAGAGATCTTGAAAAAGAAAACCAAAGCTGGAGGCATCACAACCCCGGACATCAAGCTGTATTACAAAGCTGTAATCATCAAGACAGTATGGAACTGGCATAAAACCAGACACTCAGATCAATGGACCAGAATAGAGAACGCAGAAATGGACCCACAAATGTATGGCCAATTAATCTTTGACAAAGTAGGACAGAATATCCAATGGAATAAAGATTCAAATGGTGTTGGGAAAACTGGACACTGACATGCAGAAAAATGAACCTGGATCACTTCTTTACACCATACACAAAAATGAACTCAAAATGGATGACAGACTTAAACATAAGACAGGAAGCCACCTAAATCCTAGAAGAGAAATCAGGCAACAACCTCTTTGACCTCAGCCTCAGCAACTTCTTACTGAACACGTCTCTGGAGGCAAGTGAAACAAACACAAAAATGAGCCATTGGGACTTCATCAAGATAAAAACTTCTGCACAGCAAAGGAAACAATCAGCAAAACTAAAAGGCAATGAACAGAATGGGAGAAGACATTTACAAATAATATATCAAATAAAGGGTTAGTATCCAAACTCTATAAAGAACTCATCAAACTCAACACCCAAAAACAAATAACCCAGTGAAGAAATGGGCAAAAGACACTTTTCCAAAGAAGACATCTAGATGGCTAGTGGACACATGAAAAAAGTCTCAACATCACTCATCGGGGAGATACAAATGAAACCCACAATAAGATACCACCTCACACCAATCAGAATGGCTAAAATTAACAACTTAGGCAAAAACAGATGTTGTCAAGGATGCAGAGAAAGAGGATCTCGTTTGCACTGCTGGTGGGAATGCAAACTGATGCAGCCACTCTAGAAAACAGCATAGAGGTTCCTCAAAGAGTTCAAAACAGAACTACCCTGTGGCACAGCAATTGCACTACTAGGTATATATCCAAGGGATATAGGTGTTTCAGAGGGACACATGCACTCCAATTTTTATAGCAGTGCTATCGACAATAGCCAAAGTATGGAAAAAGCCGAAATGTCCATTGACAGAGGAATGGTTAGAGAAGATGTGGTATATAAATAAATATATATATATATATATATATATATATATACTCAATGGGCTATTACTTGGCCAACAAAAAAGAATGAAATCTTGCCATTTGCAACTATGTGTATGGAACTAAAGGATATTTGTCAAGCAAAATTAGTCAGTCAGAGAAAGATAAATATCATGTGACTTCACTCATATGAGGAATTTAAGATACAAACAAATGAACATAAAGGAAGGGAAGCAAAAATAATATAAAGACAAGGAAGGGGACAAAACATAATAGACTCTTAAATATAGAGAACAAACTGAGGGTTGCTGGAGGGGTTGTGGGTGGGGGGATGGGCAAAATGGGTAAGGGGCATTAAGGAGGACACTTGTTGGGATGAGCACTGGGCGTTATACACAGGGGATGAATCACTGGAGTCTATTCCTGAAATCATTATGGCACTATATGCTAATTCACTTGGATGTAAAATAAATAAATAAATAATACAAAGATTTATTCATGTCTTTTTGTGGTTTGATAACACTTTTTATCACTGAATAATATTCCATTGTATGGATGTACCGAGTTCTGTTTATTCATTCACCTATAAGATATCTTGGTTGCTTCCAGTTTTTGGCAATTATGAATAAAGATGCTATAAATATTCATGTGGAGATTTTTCTGTGGATGTATGTTTTCAAATCAGTTGGGTAAACACCTGTGAGCACATATTTGCTGCTACAACTATATTAGTTTTATAGGAAACCGCCAAACTGCCTTTCAAAATAGTGATCCCATTTTTCATTCTCACCAGCAACAAATGAGAGTCCTGTTGCTCCACATACTTGTGTGCACTTAGTATTCTTAGCGTTTGAATGTTTTCCTTAGTTCAACCTCAATAGTTGTGTAGTAGTATTTCTTTGCTGTTAAATGGATGTATTTTTTGCAGAAATATTTCCTAAAAATGTCTAACTTACAGATCATCTTCTGGACCAAACCCTTGTAAAATCAGTAAGTTGAGAACCAGTGACTTGGTAAAGTCCCAGTGAAGTTTGGAAGAAGGAGGGAGAAGGGAGATCATACCAAGGCCATCAGTGTGATTTTCTTTTCTTTTTTTCTTTCTTTTTTTTTTTTTTTTTACAATAATGACGCTAGCTTCATTGGGTAGAATTGGAAGAACTCCCACTGGCAAGGGATATTTTTAAGAAAGTTATGAGTCGTCAGAAATACAGGCAGGAACTATGGGCATGGGCAAATCTTTGAAGCAGGCACTTCGAGAGCTGAGGTAATATGAGGCCATGTTTATGAGGCTGAGGCAAAAAGTCATTCTGTGCTTTGTAGTAAGAACAATGCTACTTCCTGACCCTGAGCTTGTATATTTTTAAAAATCTACAAGGATTAAATCAAATCTATGGGATGCTGGAGGGAGAAATATACCCTCCTATGTACTACATTTGCTGTTTGTAAAACAAGAGATGGAATAAGAACATTTGCAGTTTATGTTAACTTTGTCTGGACTAAAATCTTAATTGCAAAATCCAGTGAAGTTTCATCCCAGTCCAGAAGTCCTTTTTTACCAGTTTCTGGAGGAATTCTTTGTCTTGTATTTTATTAAGAAAATAAAAAAAAATAATTGATAGTTAACAAATCTGTATTATGAAATTAAATGATATGAACTTTACTATATAGTTAGCTGAGCAATGATACTAATAATAATAAATAATACACTAAATTATCCTGTTCTGGTAGTAATTCAGAGGAATTGGTGAAACCTTCTGCCAGATGTGACCAAGGAAAACAATTCTGTTTTAGTTTTTTATCCAGGGCCTCACTTGCTATTCTGCTGTGCCTCGTAATACTTACACCCCAGATTCTCTGTGCAGATTACTTTCTTCATGATGGGTTTTGCATTGAACTACTTCTTCTTCTTCTTCTTCTTTTTTTTTTTTTTTTTTTTGGTATTTATTTTGGGATTGCCCAAGGTTCAGATGCAATGTTTGGATGTTTGTAATCTCTAGCCATCTTTTTCATGTAGTTGCTCAACTACAATCAAAGCTCAGAAAGATCCTGGATTCATCTCTATATTTCTCTACATCATGCATGATCTGATCTAAGGTGTCGTGATGGCCAGGATATGGGTTTTTGCTTTTTTTTTTTTAATGTTTTATCTATTTCTGAGAGAGAGAGAGACGGCGTGAGCAGGGGAGGGTCAGAGAGAGAGGGAGACACAGAATCTGAAACAGGCTCCAGGCTCTGAGCTAGCTGTCAGCACAGAGCCCAACTCATGGCTCGAACCCACAAACTGTGAGATCATGACCTGAGCCGAAGTCGGATGCTTAACCGACTGAGCCATCCAGGTGTCCCATATAGGTTTTTGCTTTGTGAGGGGAAGAGAGCTTTGCCCAAGTAGGTGTGACCTGAAAATGTTCCCCAAAGGCACAGAACTTGTGGATTCTTTAGATTGATCAATTTCCTGGTGTGTCAGTTGGAATGGGTGTTGCCAGTGTTATTTCTCTCCATCTAAAATTGGAGGGGGGTGACCCTGGGTGCCAGCCTCCATGTAAGGGCAGTACTTTCTAAAAGCAAAGTATGCTAACTCCACTAAACTGCTTTGGGACCCGTAATTTCTGTGTACTTGTGTGACCTGAAGACATGAGATAGATCTCAGAAGCCTGGCTACAGGATTTTCTGACTTTATTCTCTTCAGCTTCCCTTTCTATGTTATTCCTCTGAAGACACTCAGACCCAGGTTATTTAGAGTCCCACTCATATCACCACAGAGCAGCCATGATGTGGGTCCGGGAAGAACGTTCTTGGAGGAGGAGGAAGAGCTTATTACAAGACAAGCTTTTAAGAGTCCCGAAAAATCCTTTTGACCCCTTTGCCCAAGCATTTCCCTTCCTGATTCTTTCAAAGTGCTTGGAATTCCCTTAGTGTATCTAATCCCTTGGGTTTAGGCACTAAAGCCTTTTGTAAAGTACAGGTGCGGTTTAGGTGCAGGAGCCATAAACAAATTTAACTCAAATTAACTTACCAGTTAAACTGCAGTAGTTTAGCAAGAGAATAGGATATTCCTCAGGGATCAGAATGTGACGATGGGGGAGCTGATGTGGGAAAAGTAATGCTTCTTGCCCTTGGTGGTTATGGACTCCTTAGAGAATATTTCAAAAGCTGTAGACCTTCTCCCTGGAAAAATGTACATACTATAAAAGTGGGTTTTATAGCCAGGCATATTCAAAAGTAAGAACTAGATAAAAACTTGGTAGAGAAAAAATTTTGCTTGAAAAGCCCTTAGATATCCTATGAAGTATCATATACCTGGTTTTAAAATATTTCGCTGTTCAGTAATTGTTAAGCATATTGAAATTTGACTACCACTGATGTAGCCCAAAGACGGAATAAAAAGAGTACATATATTCTGCTGCCTGGCCCTTCACGACATTCTGCTTTTGAAGAATTATTGAACCTCTGGAGGAGAATGGGGGGCAGGTGTAAATTCTAAAGCCTGCCTGCAAGGCATATTCCATTTTGGGTTTTACCTTTAAGACACTGTAACCTTAATACATGATAATGAATTTGTGATTGAAAAAATAGAATAGTAGCAAGCCTAGGTTCTAGAGTCCAAATATAAAACAAATTTGTTCAAAGTGGGGCTTCACTGTACACACAAAACTAACTCCTGATTCAGAGCATTTGTTGTTTCAGGTGGTTGAGAGGGTGGGAAACAGCGCAGCTGGGAAGGGGTGGGGACTGGAGGGAAGAGAACACTGTAGAGAAGAGAGAGATGGAGAGCGCTGGGTTGAAGCCCCTCTACTGACCTTCCATTTGTTCTTGTACCAGTCCCAGCTGCAGACCTTACTTTTTTTTTTTAATGTTTTTTATTTATTTCTGAGAGAGAAAGAGAGAGAGCATGAGCAGGGGAAGGTCAGAGAGAGAGGGAGACACAGAATCTGAAGCAGGCTCCAGGCTCTGAGCTGGCTGTCAGCATAGAGCCCGACGCGGGGCTCGAACCCATGAACCGTGAGCTCTTGACCTGAGCTGAAGTTGGATGCTTAACCGACTGAGCCACCCAGGTGCCCCAGGCCTTACTTTTTTTTAAGACTTCCTTTGCTCCTTCTTCTGTAGGCTCCTCCCCCGGCTGGCCCTCCCAGCCCCACCCTTTCTCTCTGTGTTCCAGCATTCCCCTCTGTCCTTTTAGCACTCAGCAATGAGGCAGGCCCTCAGGAAGTTCCCAGTTGGATAAGGGGAAAGTACAAAGCAGCCTTATCACTACATTCCTGATTCCTCTGAGTTTTATTATTATTATTAATTTTCTTATGCAGGTTTTCTGTGAGGCAGCTGTGTTTTCAGCTGGAGAAAAGTTTGTGACGGGGAAAACGATGCCATTAAGAAAGGGAGTGGAGAAATTAAAAGTCAGTATTTCTTCAAATACTGTCAACTGTAGCCAGTTGCCATCTTTTCTATAAAATCTTGCCTGGCTGAATAGAAGGTAAATAGCCATTCTCTCTGCTCTGATGATTTCCCATTTCTTTTTTGGCACAGGGTCACGGGCAACAAACTTCCTTAGTGTCTGATGAGAGCAGTCATTTATTTCCCCTTTAAGCCAGTCCAGAAATCCGTTAGTGAGGAAGTTAATTTGTGGTTTAGGAACTCTGGCCGTTGCAAAAACTGTCATTTCTATTGGTATGTGAAGGCACATCTCTATATCTATTCCTGTTTCTTCACTTGATAGAAAATAAAAGTAAGGTCATACAATTTAGTTTATTGTTTTTGTTGAATGTCAAGATCAGTTGAGAAAATGCGTGTGAAAATCCCAACCATAACTTAGCACATGCAAATAACTCTATATATGTTCGTTATACTATCCTTCTCTAGATGAATACTCCCATATTCCACACGCTTCTATTTCTATGAGAACCTAGTGCTCACCACCCAGAATCCTGGTAGGTGGCAATAAAAAATAGGACACCTGCATTCATATTTAAAGCTTTTGGAAGCTTCTAAAGTCACACATGGAAAGGTGGGCAGAGAGTAGTGTGCAGCTAACTTGATATTCCTTATAATAGATTCCTCCTCCTTTAAGTTATATTTCTTAAGTTCAAACTTTACTGGTTTTCTAGAGATACAGCCCCACCTGATTGAGACTGAAACTTTGTACAATCCATAGCAATGTTATCTACTCTTTTTTGTAGAAAAACAGCTAGATTTTTATATTTCTTTTTCAAAAGTAGTTATGCTGACACACAAGCTCCATGAAGACAGAGATTTTTGTCTGTTCTCTTTATTGTAAAATCTCAGTCACTCAAAGTGGTGCCTGACACATAGTGTGGACTCAAAAATATTTGTTGAAGAAATATTTGAAGAACAAATAAATCAATGATCTCGTTCAGGCAGTCTAATGAAAGAGCTGATCTATGCTCTGCCACTCTAGAATATCTGAGCATCTCTATTTTCAGGAGTAAAGAAATGCAAAAATGTTTTTGCGATTATTACGTATGTGGCATTGTGTGGGGCCCTTGGAATTTTGTGGTTAACAAGATAGTCATGCTGCCTGCCATGAAATGAGCATGTACTTTAGCAGAGGAGAGAGATATTGTATAAAAGAGTAAATAGTAGAGAATTGGTTTTAATGAAAGAGAAAGTACAGAGCATCACGGAACACTGCAGGGGGCCACAGTGTGAGAACAAAGGCAATATTCCCAAAGCAAGTGTTACAGAACATGAAAACATTTGAAAATAAAAAAAAAAAAAAAAGTATTTCAAATGAAAGGCAGTATTGATAAAGGCCTTGTGATTAGTTAGCTGGATCTTTCCTGGTGCTCTCTCTCTTTCTTGAGATACAGAGGGAGAAGCATAGCTGCTGCTGGAATTTTTCTCATGTGGATATGACCTTGAGATGCAGCAAAAGAACCAAGCCCCAGTAGCAGAGCAAACAACTTGTTCTAAAATTCTTCTTTTGAGGAAACATCTGTCTCTCTTTCAGGATGCCAGCCATCACATGGGTCTTCCAGCTCTAGCATATTTTTCAGCCATCTGCAATGTTTGCCTCCCACGCACACAGGCTTAGTCACTGCACACAAACACACACCTTTGCCCAAATTCCAGTATCAGGCTTTACTGTGACAGACTGAAAAATCTCCTTGGGGCCACCTTAAAACTTCATAGACCAAGCCTATTTTTTCAAGAGTATTGTGTAGCCAATTTATTTGTAATATATCACTGTTAAGCTCTCTTGAATGTAAGAGTAAACACAGAAGAGTGACTGTTTTGTTTTGGTTTTTGGTTATTACCATTTTCTCTTAAAGTCCTAGGATGGAAGAAAGGCTGAAGTGTCCTTTGACTTCACTTCCTACTAAGCAATCCGGGAGCCCACTCTTACATGAAACCTCTGATGCAGTATCTTCTCACTTCTATGTCACCTGGTGGTGAGGGGAGATGAAATTCTATAGGTTCCTATGATAAATTATTCCAGAGTCAATAAACCTGTTTTCAAAAATTCCTTTCACATTTAGCTGAAGTATCTCCCATTGCCTCTGGGGATATGTGTTAAGTTTCTGTTGCAGGACTCAATATAGTTAAGAACTAAGATCTGTGTTCAAATTTGACTTCTGCTTTAGATTCTTTGTATGATTTGAGACCATTTACATGACTATTTTGTATCCCTAGTTTCCCTATCTGTGCACTGAGGAACATAACACTCCTTTCTAAAGGGTATGTCCATGACCCTGGCATTGATCTAGTTTTTCTTGCATGATGATTTTGATAAATGGTGATTATTATTATTGCTCTGTGTAAACTTTTTTAATGTTTTTGTTTTATTATTATTTATTTCTGAGAGAGACAGACAGTGTGAGCAGGGGAGGGTCAGAGAGAGAGGGAGACACAGAATCCAAAGCAGGCTCCAGGCTCTGAGCTAGCTATCAGCACAGAGCCTGCAGGGCTTGAACTCATGAACCGTGAGATCATGACCTGAGCCGAAGTTGGACGCTTAACTGACTGAGCCATCCAGGCGCCCCATCTGTATAAAGCATCTAATAAGAATAACTTTGGGATTAGGAACTATGACTCATTTGGATTTGTATCATTTATCCCCTTTGGATAATACTGTGGATATCATATAATTTATTTGTAAATGATTAATAAAAAAGCAAGATAATTAGCATAGGAAACAACTTGCTTTTCATTAACTAGCTGCATGACAGAACAAACCATTTGTGGTTCCTGAATCTTAGTTTCTTCAGTTGTAAGATAGTTGTTTTATGAGCGAAATCTTGCAATTGAATCTGTTCTATCTGTTCTGTTCTATCAGAACTCCAGAGAAGGAAGTTCTTTAGGCAATATTTCTGTATCTAAGAATTATTCTTATTAATAACATGTTTTTTAAAAAAAACTCTCAGATGTTTTATATAACTACATTTAAAAGCATCTTTGAGAGGATGTATTAGAAACGTCCTATTTTCTTGGTTAGACTCAAGATGAAAAGGCGTATTATTTCACGGACAGCATAGGACCAGTACTTAATGTTTTTTTCACTGGTTACTAAGTGAAAGTAGAGGTGGGGGAGAGGTGAAGGAGCAAACTCTAGAACGATTTCATTTCATTTGTTGTTCCGGTGACTAATGGCTTCAACTTTCTCCCTGGAGTGTTTCCAAAGCTCTTTGCTAGATGTTCACCTTGACTCTCCCCAATATTCTCAACCTCAGCTAAATGAAACTGCAGTTTATGACAGCAGAGAAGCTGAAGAAATACAGCTTGTAAATCCTGGGCATAATTTTACTTAGAAAGGTAATGACAAACTCACACTTATATTAATTTAACTCTCTTGATTTCTTTTCTCAGAATTTTAGGTAGATCAAGGATAGAGATACATGATGGGGAAAAAGAGGAAAATTCTTTGGTGGGGAGGTCTTAAACACTCTTTGGAGTTTCCTTTTACACCTGGATCTTTTCTGGGGTTCTGAAGGCTCCAATATGAATATTAATTCTAGGAAAATAAATTATTTTGTCAGTTTCACCAAGGGCCCCTATGAATTCCCAAAGAGCACAGTAACCTTCAGTTAGGTAAATAAACCAGGAGGTAGAGAAAGGAGTATGTCAATCTCAGCATAATCTTCTCATCTGATCCACTAAACTGCAAATTTTATAGTGTTCCTAGTGTATACAGAGTGTTGATTGTGATAAATATTAATAATACATAAATATTAGTGATATATAAGTAGAAAAGGGTAAATAAGACATATTCCTAAGAGTGTTGACTTACAGAAGCCTACTTATGTGGTGGTATTCTACATTAGAATTATGCCATATGTATTTATTTTGATAGGTAAGTGGCATTTCTTAGACTTTTGGGTAGACTACCTCATGAGAAAATTATTTGTTCAACTTCCAGTTAATTGATAACGTCAATGAGAATAAAATTTGGGTCACTTGGTACAGTTTCACAACTTTGCTCTCCTAATACTGGATTCATACCTTTATATTCAGCAGTTTACTTTGTGCCGATGACATCAACAAAAAGAAATCCAGACCCAAAGGAAATTTCCATGTTAAATCAAATAATTGTAAATGAGTTATTTCTTAACTTTCTAAATTCTATGCCAGTGATTCCATCAGATATAGAGCAAAGAGTCTTTCCTTTGAGAACTTCCTTTCCCACAAACTGATTAAAATTATACACTACAGGAAATCCTTTGAGTATAAACCAGGGCAAATTGATATGAATAAAAATAAGGTAAAATGAAAACAGTAGGTAGAGTCTGACATATTTATTTAATAAAATATCATGGTTATAAATGGCATGATATAATTGGGATTCCACTAACATTTATTTAATGTCATTATCATATATCTCATTTAATTTTTACATTAAACTCATAAGGTAGCTCTTACTATTCTCTCCTTTTCCTGAAGACAAGGAAATAGATGCAGAGAGAAATTAAATAACAGCCTCAGATAAGTAAATACTTCATATGTGTGGGAATCCAAATTTAATTCTTATTTCATCTGACTGTAGGCCAGTGGTTTTTCTCATTTATCTCATTTCTCATTCTTTTCTCACTCAGTGAATCTGATGGTTTCTGTCCTTCTCACCCATCTCTGGAGTGAGAAGGTGGGAGTTTTTTCCTGGGGGCCCATCAGAATCTATGTGTGGGGTGATATGTATAGTTTGGAAAAGATGGCAGAGATAATTCTACTTCCCCTACCATCCACCCCAATTGACGTTATCCCACACTGTACATTGATGGGTTTTATTTTAGTCTATTGACTTTGGAATAAAACTTCTTTCAGCTTTCCCATTTAATAACTTTGTAGAAAGTGTTCCTCCCCGCACCCCAAATTTACCAGGCAATTAGTTTCATGGAATATTTCTGGGTTAGCATATTTCCTAGAGTTAAATTGAAGTTTAATTAGAATAAAACATCAATTCAAAGGTTACTATATGAAGCTAGAAATCTCTCCTCTGTCACATCTTTGCATTTCTCATGTAGTAAAATTCTTTGACCTTGCCTAAGTTCAAGGTCATGGCTTAATGAATATCAATCATTCCACTTAAGCTCACTCTGATACACAAGGCTCATATCTACTTCCAGGATGGGGATTTAATTCCTTTCATAATCCCTCACCTGCAGGTCCTTTATTTTCTGGCCATAGTTGTGTCTAGCTGTCCTTGAGGCTCTTCACCTGAGCCATGCTCAGCATTGACTACCATTTTCACCCCTTGTCTATGGTCCCGTGGTATCTCAGCCAAACTACATTCATTATGAACATCCTATCGTGTGTTATACTGATTGCTTTTGTCTTTCTTCACAGTCTCCTCCAACATATACTTGTTTTTCTTTTTTTTTTTTTAACATTTATTTATTTTTGAGAAACAGAGAGAGACAGTATGATCAGGGGAGGGGCAGAGAGAAAGACACACACACAGAATTTGACGCAGGCTCCAGGTTCTGAGCTGTCAGCACAGAGCCCGACATTGGGCTTGAACCCACGGACTGTGAGATAATGACCTGAACCAAAGTTGGATGCTTAACTGACTGAGCCACCCAGACACCCCTACTTGTTTTTCTTATTAGCAAAATGAAGTGGTGAGTTTTATGATATCAAACTTGGCATAGGGACAACATAATATTCTAGCATTAGGACCATGGAGCTCACTAATTGGTCCCCTGAGCCCGCTGGAAATAATATCAAGTAGGCTGAATTATATAGCTCTGTGTCCAGTCTTTAGGACTCATTTTGCCTACTTACAAGGGAAATTTCTGCTTTCTCTCTGTGTTGGTGGTTTCAGCCTCAAATTGATATTCTTCAAAATCATTGGAACAGACTTTGCAGGTTTTACCTGAGGGAAAGAAGCAGTTACTTTTCATACAAAGGCAGCTACAGAAGCCAAACCATGGGAAGACTTTTCATAGCTGGGCTTGGTTATTGTAAAACTCTTGTTGGAGCAGATGACTCTACTTCTAAACTCAGAAATTAAGTGAAAGGAGAGAGTCTCATATTTTACATATTAATCTCCATCTTTCTATTACTTTCACTCTGTCCTATCTGAGCTTTAACATTTGCAGGTGATGGAGTAAGTGGGCCCCAAAATGATATAATTTCAGGAAGAGATGTAATTTTCAACCTCTGTCAAGATATCTGAGATCTTACCCTGAAACACTGATTCTTTAAGAACTCTCTTCAAAGACTCACATATAGAAGTGTAAACACCATTGGGAGGTATGTTTAGCCTTATACTTTTTTGCACTTAAAGCACCTTGAGTCAATGTCAGTCCACATCTGAGGGATAATTCATTGGCAACTGGCTAAAACCAAAGTAATAGGAAAAGCAGTATTCTCAGAATCAGTTCACCAGTTTTCCCAGTTTGCCAAGGAATGGTGCTAAAACAAAACAAAACAAAACAAAACAAAGCAGGGATAATCTTTGACAAGTTCACACCTTTTTGACCCCCATATGTAGATACTCAGCATCCCATTGCAAGAGGCTTTGGCACACCCAGTCAAAGGACATACATGATAGGCTGGCTTAAACACAAACAGTAGTGAAAATTAGTCTCTAGTAGTGGACAGACTAGTATACATATTAGAATGTGGAATAGTTTATTTTTCAGCAACAAGTGAAAATATAATCACAAAGTTGGATGTGTAGTCATCTTTCAAGTAGATGATGGATATTTTTGTTTTTGTTAGCTAAGTGCCCATTTGGATATTTGTGGCCCTTCCCCCTTTCTCTTGGAGATCTTGGATCTCTTGGAGAGATCAGAAAGCCTTCCCTGGGCAGGATGGGAAGGAGAGAAAACCTTTTCTCAGAGTAGAGTATGTGGCCCCAGACTGTGGCTCCTCAACTTAGTCTAAGAGCACACCAGCCAGGCTAGAGGGGAATGTCCTACTGCGTCAACAAATAAGAAGCATCCAGAAGTAGAAGTTGGAGAAGAGTTCAGGCAGAGAAGATG